ACTATAGTTTTTATTTTTCTCAATGGTAAATTGTAAAAATTCTTATTATCTTTGGTAAACTTTAATAAGTTATAATTTTTCAATGGTGAACTTAATGAAACAATGTAGTTAATTCTTAACCATGGTTAGCATATTTTTTAAATAAAAAACTTAAAATCCCTAAAATACCCCCCACTTAATTCACTTAAATAATCAAATTACTAAAATGCCCTCAATCATCAAGATCATCATCTTCATCCTCCCCTCTTTCTTCCTCCTCACCTTTCTCAATCACCACCTTCACTCATCGGAAGCCAGCCACCTCTCTCCCGCCGAAGCTGCCGCCACCCACGCTGGCATCGGCGCACACAGGCGCCCCTCCCTCACCGTGTGCTAGCTTCCCCCACCCTTGCCGCACCTCTCCTTCCCTCTAATAAACCACCACCGTACCTTGCCTCCCTAAACAACCCCTCAAATCCTTAATCAATCTCTCCATTTCAAACGATATCCACTGAATTTGTCTTTAAATCTCCCCAATTTGACCCTCTAAAAGCCTTTCATGCCGAAAAAACCCAAATTTGAATTCGATTGAAGCTTAAGGGCAACTAACCAGAAGCTTAACAACCTCGAATTTCTGTAACAATGGCAAACGACTAACTAGACTTCAAGAATTTGTAGGTTTTCAATTAATGGTGGGGAATCGCTGATGGGGGTGATGACAAACTGGGTGCAAATTAAAACTTCATTCGCCGGTTTAGGGTCGTGGTGGGGGAAGGGGAAGAGGGCGTCTTGGTGGGGGAAAAAGGGAGTCGGGGAATCGGGGGTGGGTCTTGGTGTCGGGCTAGGGTCGGCTGACAAATTGCCGGCAGTGTAAGGTGAGTCGACGACGCCGGCAGAGGAGGGGAGGAGAACAGGGTGGCTGGGCTGGTGGGGGAGGATTCTTTTTTTTTTAAAAAAAAATATTTAATTATTAGAAACTAACCATGGTTAGCTATTTTAATTAAAATAGTTATTCTCCTTGGTAACCAAAAATTCAAGTTTACCAAATATAATAACTTTTTTTCCAAGTTACCATAGAGAAATATAAGAAATTGGGTATTACGGAAGAGAATTTCCCAAAAATATATTATATTAATTGTACAATATTTCAATTGCACAATATTTCAATTAGGTCATGATGTACTTTTTATAACACTAGGTTAGTTCTCGTGTCATGCACGGTAATTTTCAATAACTATTATTAAGCTATCATTATAATTAGTTTTTATAAACAAAAAAAAAAATCTAAGAATATAGTTGACAAATTTTGATCAAAGTACTAAATTACAAAAGATATGTTAGGTATAACATGATGTAGGAAATAATCAAAATTATGTTAAGAAAGTTTTTTTTTTATAGGTATATAAAAATTTGTGTTAAAGATATGTCAAAAAATATAATATTTTTATTAGTTATATTGTATAACATTAGGGAACTATTTTTGTATAAAATTTGTTTCTTTAATATAATTTCAAAAATAATTAAAAACAAAAAAAAAAATTAAAAAAAAAAACCTAAGGACACACCAAGTGATGATGACACGTGCTCGTGTCATTGCTAGTGTGTCTTTTAATATATAGTTATTGATGTCATGTACATTGTATATATATGATTCCATGATCTTTCTTTTATAATATTATGTACATTTTATTGTACGATATATACTTCCATTGTTGATTTCATAATTTCATATTATCCTAACTTTCATAATGTTAAACTTTTATGTGCTTTAAGGCTTTTGTTCTTTGAATTAATTCCTTATGTTTTTGTAATATTAATGAAGAACATGATTATATTATGTAATGGACATTATGTACATTTACCAATCTTTATTCAAAGACAAAATTTAAATAACATTTCACAATAAACAATAAATGTTATGTGATGAAAAAAGTACATCTTGAAAGTTGAACATGATACGGATACAAAATTCAAAAAAATTTCACTGTAAGCAATGAATATGTGACTAACAGTAACATATAAAATAGTTTATTACAAATATATACTTCAAAATATTTATACATACATATGTAGACAGTAGACACCCATTTGTGTCTCCCCAAAACCAAACCCAGTGATGAGCACTTTTCACGTCGAATCATAATCGAATGAAGTGAAAGTGTGGAAAGTCTAGCGTTGCGGATAGTTTTAATTTCTTTTCTCTTCTCTCTGTTTTTGAAAACTTATTTTAAGAAAACAGCCAATCCAGTTTGGTTTGTCCATGATATGGGTCCAATAATAGTGTAGTTGGATGAGGCTTGACAAGGGCTTTCTAACGATATATTATAAGCCCAATTCCGATGAATATTGAGGAAGTTATGGTCAATTTACCAAACTGGGTCCGGTTTGAGCTTTATATACGGCTCAATGATCTTGGGGAGGGCCTAATATGTATTTATCATTCCTAATGCAATTAGGAATGGTTTTAGTCTTCTAGAATTTTCTAGAAGGTTCTTTTCATTCCTAATTCAATTAGCATTGATAAATTGACTTTTGACTTTTCAGAGTTTTAATTAGCATTTTCGAGGAAATTATATGATTTTATCCTCCAGTACGGCAAACTTATCAGATTTTTAAAAACGCGTTAAAACCAGGCTTGGCGCCTGACCCCAGGCTTTGGCGCCTGGAACCAGGCCTGGCGCCTGGCGCCAGTTAGCCAGGGTTTGCGCCAACTCTGTTTTTTGTGCGTCAGACTCTGTTTTGTTTATTCTATCTTTTGGCTGATTTTTCTCTATAAATAACATATTTAAAAACTTCGTTTTCATTCACCAACATTCACCAATTCTCACCGATAATCATCTACAATCAGTTTTAATTAACATTCTTTCATTCATCTCTTTCTTTCTTTCTCTAAACTTTGTTTCTTATACAAAATTCCGCATTCGCAAGATCTAGAAACACCTAGCCATATTCGAAGTTGCCTTCGCCCTAGACGGGAAAGGTTTAATTTCTGAGGGTCTGGTCCCAAATCTCTCTTTCAATTATTTAATTTAATTGTTTTGTTTTATTATTTTCCTTGAAGGTACTAACGTGTGTATTTTGTTATTTAAAAGAGGTATGAGGCATCAAAGTAAGTGCTTTAATGGTTTTAATTGATGTTATGATGTAGAAATCATGTTTACATTGTTATTATGATATTCCTAGTATCATGTCTAGGGTAATTTTAATATTAAATATGATTGTTACGATGCTTCCTATGTTCTTCCTAATATTTATGAATGTTAGTATCATGTTAGGGCTAAAGCTTTGATTTTTATTGTTTAGTGACATGCTAGGGTTTGTTATTAATCTTGTTAGTATCATGCCTAGGATCTTGCTATGTATATTATGCTTTAATATTAACAAGAACATGATTATAATTATAATTGTTATAATTTATGATTATTATTATTTTGATGATGATTATTTTATTATGATTATAATTTTGTTATCGCTATAATAATTATTATTATGATTAATATGGGTGTTATCATGATGATTATTCTTAATTATATTTGTGATGATTATAATTATTATTTTTTATTATTTATTATATTGCTTGATATTTATTTTTATTGCTTGATCACGCCTTTTATTCATGTTTAAAGGGAATTTATACTTGTAATCACGCTTAATAAGATATTTAATAATCTTGTTTAAGGTTAATGTGATTATAAATTCAAGTGATCGCCAATAATAGTTTATTTGTGCATTAAATTCAACCAACATAGATTAAACAGGTTTAGGGTTAATCTAATGATTGCATGTTAATCAGAAAGCGCACATGAATACGATCAGAATAAAGTAGAGGCCTATTATTAGGGCAGGTTCAATCTCTTTTAGGTTGGATTTGTACCTTCATCCCCGAACCCTTATTTGGTTCTAGACCTTATGGAGTTGACGATCTCTTGGATCGTTAAGGGGTGTAACCTTCATCCTATGAACGGTTTACAAGTTCCTAAAAAAACTTGTTGGCGACTCTTTTGCTCTATCTTCTTCCCTTTTGGACGTCACCGTACTTTAGTGTATGATCACAGTGGGGTTCAAGCTAGTGGGATTAAAGCTTGAAATTATTCCCTACAATATATATATATATATATATGTATATATGTATATATATATTGGTGCAAATGAAGGCCAAGCCCTTTATTCAAATAGAGCAACAAAATTATATTACAAACGGGGGAGTAATGATTCCTAACTCCTAAGTTATCCTCCCGAAGAAGTTCCTTTATTTCGATCTAAGGACTATCATAATAAATTACCCACTCCTTTTGGATAACACCTATATTTGCAAGCCTATCGGCCACCCTATTCCCCTCCCAGTAACAATGAAAAATACAAGAATTAAGCTCAAAAGACATAATGATATCACGACACTCTCTTAGTATAATCGCACTTTTTTCTCCTTGCAATTGTCCATTTTGTAAAGCTTCAATGCAGCAAGCCTTGGTATCCATTTGTACAACTAGCTTAGAGATGCCTTTGTCCACTGCCATACGAAGTCCCACTTCCAAAGCAAGCAGTTCAGCACGATAAGCAGAACATACACCAAAGTTGGCTGAGCAAAAATAAACATATGAACTAACATAACGTTAATTATTAATTATAAATTACAACAAATATAAAGTACATCATGTTTTCAGATAAAAAACAATATTAAATCATATAAAGAACAACACAAGTAATAATACACATGACAATACAATTTGAATTACAATTTTGAATTTTCAAAATGAAATCTTAAATTTTATTTAAGAGAAAATAATTTTAGGGAGTGATAATTATTTTAATGAGGAACTTTTTTTTTTTTTTTTTTTTTTTTTTTTTTTTTTTTTTTTTTTTTTGGAAAGAAAGGAAATGATTGGGATGAAAGTAAATATTTTTGAAATCTACTCATTAATTTTTGGATTAAAAAAATATTCAGTAGTTATCTTTACTATTTTTGAAAAATCCCCTCTGTAAAAAATGTGTTCTTTCATTTTGCCTTTTGTTCTTTGTAGGTGTACCAAGCATGGTACACTTGGATGTAGGAACCATGCATTGACAACGAGGCCTTCTATAGGGAGGTTTGTGATGTATGAGTTAATGCATAACAAGGGGCATGGGGGTCATTTCACAAAAATGCACTTTTGAATTTAGAGTAGTACCATTGGGTGATTAATTGAATCACTGAATGATCAAATAGTATCATTGAACACTCAGTGGTACCATGTATGTATGTAGTGCTACTATATATTCGTTCAGTGGTACTCACTATTCACTACGTGTAGAAATAATATCATGACGTAGTCATTGGTATTATCTAATCTTTCAATTAGACATTTAAAAGTGGCCCCACTTATCCATCTCTCTCTTCCTTTTCTCACGAGTGAGTCTGGACGCATAGCACCTATGGGCGAGTTATGTACATAGGAGGGTAAGAAGTAATTTCCGGTGATTTAATTTTTAAAACCAAAGGTCTAGTGGTACATTATAATGTACCATTATACATGTATAATCTACCACTAAAGTATAAATTTTCTGAATAATACTTTTTATGGACTATTACGTGTGTAGTGGTACTTTTTACTATCCTATAGGTTGAATATTTTCCCTCAAAATACTTACCACTTGTCACTTATTATGCATGTAGTGGTACATTTTTTCATTCACCTGTCACTTATTATACATGTAGTGGTACATTTTTCATCTTAATGAAATCTTAACTTTGAAGAATGAAAGGGACGAGTGGGTGGAGGGTCAAAAAGAAGTGGAAGATGTGGTTTTAACTGCGGTAAAGGAGTTGTTCAATCCTTCCCATACGGATAGCCACGGGGAAGATATTGACCTTCTGCTTAGACAGCTTGATATCCCTCAGATTTCTAGGGAGGATAAGAGGAGGCTAGACAAACCTTTCACCGAAGATGAGATTAAAAGGGCTATGTTTAAGATGCATAGCTCAAAGTCTCCAGGGCCAGATGGTTTTACTGCAACTTTTTCCAGTTGTACTGGGGAGAGGTAGGAGAGCTGGTAGTGGAGAGTGTGCATCAATTTCTGAGGATAGGGAATATGCTCAAAGAATGGAACCAATCCCTATTGGTTTTCATCCCTAAGGTTAAGGTTCTAGAAACCGCAAGTCAGTTTAGGCCGATTAGTTTATGCAATACGGTCTACAAATGCATCTCAAAGTGTCTGGTTAACAGGTTAAAGGATATTCTCCCGGGTCTAATCTCTGAGAACCAGTATGCCTTCATCCCGGGTAGGTACATGGAGGATAATATTCTATTGAGTCATGAGCTTATGCACTTGGTTAATTCGAGGAAAGGCTCGAATTTCACAGCAGTCAAAATTGATATGTCAAAGGCATATGATAGAGTGGATTGGCTCTTCCTTCTTAAGGTCCTACAGGCTTATGGGTTTTCTGGGCACTGGATAAAAATGATCTCGCAATGTGTTTCGACTGCTAGCTTTAAAGCAGTCATCAACAGGAAGACTTCGGAGCATTTTTCCCCCAATTGTGGCCTGAGGCAAGGGGACCCTCTTTCTCCATATCTCTTTATTTTCTGTATGGACATTCTATCAAGGATGCTTTCTCTGGCAGAGAACATCAACCAGTTCAAAGGATTGAGAGTCTCAAGGAGGTCCCCTTCTATATCACACTTGTTCTTCGCAGATGATGCCATGTTATTTTTCAAGGCAGATGAGGAGGCGTGCTCTTGTATTAACGATATTCTCCTGAGATTTGGTAAAGCTTTGGGGCAACAGTTAAACCTCCAAAAATCTTTTGTTAAGTTCTCTCCGGGTTTTGACAACAACAAGAGGTTAGTGTTGAAAAGTATTCTTTCGATGCCAGAGACGGATAATATGGGGACTCATCTAGGGGCCCCCATTGACATTTAGGGCAAGAAAAAGCTGGCTTTTCAATTCCTGGTTGACAGGGTTTCTGATAGGGTGATGTCTTGGGCCTCTCTTAATCTTTCACAGGCGGCTAAGTTAATACTTATCAATACAGTTCTGGTAAGTATATCAGCACATGTTATGAAGTGCCTTAAGCTTCCTCAAGGTATTGCCAACAAGATTGACTCCCTCATCACAAGGTTTTGGTGGTCCAATAAGGGGTGCAAAGGTCTGCACTGGGTGAGTAGAGACATCATTCAAACCCCGAAGAGTATGGGAGGTTTGGGGATTAGAGGGACTTCCACCCTTAATGACGCTCTCCTTTTCAAACAATCATACATGATGCACCTCAATCCCCAGCTCCTGATTTCTAGAGTACATGGGGGGTTACAAACTTGTGGTGTGTGCAGCATGGCTAGGCCTTATGAAAGGAAGGGGATTCCTTCCTTGGGAAGGTCAAGCCTCCAAAAAGTCTCTCGGGTTTTTAATGATGGGTTTGCTTGGAAAATTGGTAATGGTAAGGAGGTGAGAGCCATCAGTATGCCTTGGGTGGATGGTAAGGTCCCAATGGTGAATGCTAATCAGACTCTAGGAGCGGCCATAAGGTGGAAGGTTGAAGATTTCATCGACAAGGAGTCAGGGAGCTGGAATGCAGGGAAAGTCAGGAGTTGTTTTGATTGGGATAGTGCTAGAACTATCTTGGCAATGGAGCTTCCGCATAAAGGGGATGATGACTTCACTTATTGGAAGTTTCACCCATCTGGAAGGTACACATTAAAAACAGGTTACTACTACCTTTTGAAGGATGTGGGGCTTGGCAACTCTTCCTTATCTAGTAGGGATCAAGAGTTTGTTAAGATGATTTGGAGGATTGACATCTAGACAAAGTGTAAACTCTTTCTATGGAGGCTCTTCCATGATGGTATTGCTGCTAAGGCTAACTTAGCAAGAAGGGGTGTTCAAGTTGAGGAAACTTGTGATTTATGCGGTTCTGCGCAAGCAGATGGCCAGCACATCTTCCGTTATTGTTCTCTGGCTACGGACGTATGGGGGAACTCCCCACTCTCTATTAGCCATGATTCTACTGGTTCCAGCTCTCTGAGAAAATGGATCCAGCACTATATCTTGCTCTTTCATAGCGAGGACGGTAAGCATAGCACTCGTAACGCACTTTTCATAGCAACATTATGGGGCCTGTGGAAAGCAAGGAATGCGAGGTGCTTCAGGAATGCTAATGGGGATGCGAGCTTGGTTGGGGAATTCATAAACCAAGCAATGCAAGACCATGAGGGCTTCACTCATAAGGGGGGAAATGATAATCCTGACAGGGTGACAAGGAGCGAAGACCCTGTTTTTCCACCAGGGTTTAATCATGTGCAGATGGGTAGAGACCTCTCGGAGTATGACAGCTTTATGGTAGAGGTGGATGGCTCATGGGACAAGAAGACATTGAGGGCAGGGGTTGGTTGGGCGGTTGTTGGGAATGGGTCAACGACTATGCCCAATGAAGGGGGAAAATATGGAGCGACTTCATCAGTGGTACATTGTGAAGCATGGGCTTGTCTGGAAGCAATGAAATGGGCCAAAACTCAGGGGAAGCATGGTATCCTTCTGCTTTCTGATTCTATCTCCCTCCTTAACAACTTGCATGATAATCTTGGCAAGGATGTTTCGATTTCCTGGTTGGTTAAGGAAATTAGGGAAGTGGGGGCTACATTTTAAAGATGTGCAATCCTAAAGGTGCCACGAGAACAGGTCTCAAGGGCTAACGACATTGCTAGGATCTGTCGTCTTTCTTTGTCTTCTTTCTCTTAATTTTGCTTTTCCTTTGCTATTGTCAAAAAAAAAAATCTATAAGCGCTATGCGCCAAGACTTAACCTTTTCTCACCCCCATGTGCTTTTTAATATTTTAGTATTTGTTATGCATTTGCAACCATCATTAGTACTTCCTCCATTGACAACTTTTAGAAAATCAAAACTTGGGAAAATGTGGGCCGGTTCTATTTTAATATTTTATATGTTTTATTTTTTTAGGTTGAAATTAAATGAGACGAGTCACTAATAGGTTAGAACATATTTGGTTCAATTGAGTTCCATGTTAGAGTGTCACGGGTTAATTTGACATCAGGACGTACAAGTCATACGGGATTCAATATAATTCGATGAGTTAAATTCAGTTTGTTCCACATTTCAGATTGGGTCGATTTTTGGTTCATAGCTCACAAATTCTAACATATTTGATTCTTATAGGATCCAGTCAATAATAGGTTATTTCATGATTAGATTTAAAATTTGAGAGTGATATTTGTATAAAACAGTGAAAGTGAAGTGAAGTGTGCATATTGATGGTGCTTTCTTTTTTGAGAACTTTAATTGATTCTGTAGTTGATTAGCATGTGTGTTATTGTTAAATAAACATTATTTTATGTAAAAGTTCTTACACGGAACAACTGCGGAAGCTCCACGCACAAAAGATAATAAAATATCAAATCTTCCACCACTCTCATGCAATTAGGAGAAGAAATATTAAATAATTTTAGTATCATTGTATGAAAAATGTGAGTAAGTGATAATTTTTGTCAACCATATATTTACAATTATACTAGTGTATGAGATATATTTCCTTTAAAAAAATTAAAGTAATATATTAGTACTCCGTAAATGAGTTAATAACAAGTGATGGACCATCATTGAAAAAGTTAGAAAAGATAAACAAATGGACGAATAGTAGGGGACAAAAAAGGGGTTTGGTCTAGAAGAAGTGAAAAAATGTTGTTAAACTTAAGAGCCAAAGAACTCATGAAAAAGTAAAGAGAAAGTTGGGAGAAAAGAAAGCATATGAACTTTCACTATGATGAAGTTAATTGTTAGCACTCTCTAATTACCTTTACCCTAACATACTGCCATATTTACATTATTACATATATCCTCTCACATATTTTATCTTTTTTTTTATGATTTACATTATCTTACTAATTTTACAATTTTTTTCATTAAACTTTTGAAATAAATCGGGGTACAACAAATTAAATATTGTACATCGATTATAAAGTTAGTAAGATAAACATAAAATGATAAAAGGTACTTGATTAGGGGATTTTGCTCCCACCAATCGGAATGCGCCACGTGGACCAATCAGGTCCTGCCAAGTGTCCCCCAGTTGGAACAGTCAGGGCTTACCACGTGGCACGCGCTTATTCGTCCACCTTGGACCTGTTATGTCAAGACATGTGGCATACTCCATGCCTAATGGAGAAACCGGCCACCCAGGCCCAACTTCCGAGGGAAGCCCAACCGGCCCTAGGTTAACCTAAACCTAGGATGGGCACGTTTCCCAAGGTTATAAATACCTCCCTTAATCCTCATTAAGGGGGATTACAAAAAAGAGAACAGAAACATTACGGAAAAAACACATTAGTTACACACAGTAATAACCGGCTGATCTCGCTAACAAAGCAGATTACCTACATTAAACACTCTCACCTAGAGAGACCAAATCACTTTAATTTCCGCATTAATTACTCCTTAATCAGGTACTAACTTGACCGTTGGAGGCGGAGCTCACAGGAGTCTCCGTTATTTTGCAGGTACAGGCGTCCGGTTCCAGTCTCGGAATTGTAACTCTCCCGCAGGACATCAGAAAACCCCGAAACATTTGGCGCCGTCTGTGGGGAGAGTACTTCTGAGATGGCATCCAAGTCTGTACCGACTCCTGAAGAGAGGCGTCCCCTAGACGACCCTCAAGTACAGTCGGACCATGATACCGAAAGTGAATTTGAAGTTGAAGCTCATACAGCTTCAGACGGGACCCTAAGGGCCCGACGTACCCGTCATACCGAAAGGGGGGAACGGGAGCATCTTCAAACAGGAAGCGAGCCAGCAGGCGCACCGCCTGTTCGGCAACAGCCGACTGATGGGTTTGCTCCCATCACAAGGAACGAACTCATGACCTTCATGAGGGACTTCAAGGGAGAGATTCAAGAGTTGATCAACAAGAAGCCGCCTGCTTCAGTCAAGGAGCAGTCAGCCAAGAAACCCTCCACTTCACTGAAGAGGAAGCCAGTTCAAGGGCGAGAGGCGACTCCTCATCCTAAATCTAGGAAGCGGGAGCCACCTGCCCTTGATTTCACAAAAATTCCGTTATCCTACAGGAAATAGGAAACCTGTTCGTCATATTCAGGCGGACGGGTCGAAGCAAACATTCACAGATGCTCGGCTACTGCTAGAGCAGAAGAAGAGTGACCGATTGTCAGAGTCGGCCTCTACTTCAAACTTTCAAGACAGTTTGCGAAATGCCTCGATGAGGCATACTCAGTCGTACCATGAGAGTCAGTCAGGCGGCACCTCCCGTCAGTCCGGCTTTCATAGCGACCAGGCGGTACCAAACTTACCATTTGTGCCGCAACAACAGTATTTTTTGCAGCCACCTCCGTTTGGTGGACCTGCAGCAAAAAACGTCCAACCTATGGACTGGCAGCTACGGTTGCTTAGACTTGGTGAACAGCCGTCGGCCTTCTCCAAGGAAATTACTGAAGCCGCTCAGCCGGCCAAAGTGAAAAATGTACTAGTAGGCGCCTATGACGGCACTACTAACCCAGAAGACCATCTGATGGCATTCACCAACCTGATGTACCTTCAAGGATTGGATGATCCCACTTGGTGCAAGTGTTTCCCAGCGACTCTCAAAGGAATTGCACAGCAATGGTTCGGCAACCTGCCGACTGGTTGTGTAAATAGCTTCAGGACGCTTGCTTACTTATTTGCCTCCAACTTCGCCATGAACATCCCTGCGAAGAAAACGACCCTTGATTTGGGAACAATTTAGCAGGGTGAGAAGGAGGGGCTTCGTTCTTACATCAGGCGGTTTAACCTGATGAGAATACAGATTCAAGGGTTACCGGATGAGGTAGCTTATACTGACTTTTTCAGAGGTCTAAAAGACGGGTTTACCTTCAAATTTGATTTGGTTCGAAAAAGGGTGGCGACTCTTCAAGAGGCCTTGATTGAAGCAGAAGCCTATATACAGGCGACTGATCTTTGTACGATAAAACAGTCGGACGGGAAAAGGTTCGACAAAAGAGAAGGACGACAGAAACAGTCGTCAAACAAAGATGAGAAAAGAAAAGAGGTCTGGGCGGCTGATTCCTCTAAACAGCCGGCCCAGAAAAAGAAAAAAGAATTCAAACCATACTCCCCAAAGTATGCGTTTAACAAGGATAACCAGTTTATCCTAAAAGAAATCAAGGGACGGATCTCAATTGAGAAGCCGGTCCCCATGAAGGGTTCTGCAAACAACCGGAACCAAGATAAATTCTGTGCTTATCATGATGATGTTGGTCATCACACCAATGACTGCATCAGTCTCATGCGGTACCTAGACCGCCTGGCTGAGCAAGGTGATCTTGACACTTATGTCAAGAAATCTACGGGGAACACTTCCTCAAAAAAGCAGTCGGCCAAAAAGAATCAGCAGGCCGACAGCTCTGATACAGATGATGCAGTCGTCTACACCATTGCAGGCGGCTTCTCAGGAGGCGGCCCCACTATTAGGGGCAACAAAGACAATATCAGGCGGTTAGATGTAAATTCCGTTCACCAAGAACGGCCGTCCAAATATTCATTTCCTAAGATTGTCATCACTGAAGAAGATCTAGGAGGGGTAAGGGGGCCGCATGACGACCCTCTCGTTATTGAATGTAAAGTGGCCAACCAGAGAGTTGGCCGAATCCTCATAGATACTGGAAGCTCCTCAGATCTCATCAAGAGCAAATGTCTGTCGAAACTAAAATATCAGACTGATTGCATACATCCGGCCTCCCACCCTTTAGTAGGGTTTGGAGGAGGAGTCGTCCACCCACTGGGACGAGTAAATTTACCCATCCGCCTGGGCGAAAAAGGGGAAGGACTACACATGGTAGTCCGGTTCCTGGTAGTAGAGGAACTCTCGGCCTACAACATGATTCTGGGTCGACCTACCCTGAATAATTCCAAGGCTGTTATAATCCCATCTCTTATGTTGCTCAAGTTTGAGAGGGATAATGGAACAGTCGGCTCCCTAAGGGGAGATCAGAGGATGGCCCGAGAGTGCTATCTCTCGGATGTCAAGCCCACTGTTATGGCTACTGGGTCAAGCGGTGAAAAAGCAGACCTTGACAAGGAGAGTGCGCCTGTTCAAGAAGCAGGCGGCAAAAAGAGAAAGGCATCCCAGACAGGGGCCGCAAGAAAAGAAAGAAAATAGCAATCATTGGCAGAGGAGCGGCCGGATGAGTTCCGCCCTCAGCCGGCTGGTGAACATGCGGACCTGATCTTAGACGACTCACGTCCTGACCGAACAGTCAAAGTTGGGACGACTGCTCTGAGAAACCTTGGTGACAACTTTCACAAACTATTGAAAGAATACAAGGACATCTTTGCATTCGAAGTCCATGAAATTCCAGGCATTAGTCCTGATCTGGCGGTACATAAACTGGTCGTGGATCCAAAAAAGAAGCCGGTACGGCAAAAGAAGCGGAACCATGGCGAAGAAAGAAGTCAGGCGGCAGCCGCCGAAGTTAAAAAATTACTTGATGCAGGGTTCATTCGGCAATGTTACTTCCTAGACTGGGTTGCAAATGTGGTGCTTGTAAAAAAGTCGAATGGCACCTGGCGAATGTGTGTAGACTACACAGACTTAAACAAGGCGTGCCCCAAAGACAGTTACCCTCTGCCTAAAATTGATAAC